GATGTAAGGCTTGGATGCAGCGGCTTGGCCATGGAAATGCATTCCATGAAGCTCTCTATGCACTGTTGTTGTGCCAATCTGAAGGCCACACGAAGTTTGGAGGTCTGTAGCTATTGACTCTGCAGACAGTTGGCGACTTCTGCGCCTGTGTGCTTCAGCATGCGTTGACCCCGCTCTGTCAATTTACATGGCCTACCACTTCATGGCTGAGTTGCTGTTCCATGTCCCAGTTGCTTCAACTTTGTTATAATACCACTAACAGTTGACCGTGGAATATTTAGTAGCAAGGACATTTCACGGAACACCTGAATCCAATGATTTGGAGGGGTGTCCCAATACTTTTGGTAATATAGTGTATCTCTGCTCAGTTGTGGTGTAAACGGGGCACATAGAAAACCATGTCCATGCAGAGACTTGTGCTGATTAGGTACAGAAAACCACAGGCTCATGGTGTGAGCAAACCCTAAATAAGCTAAATACATTCCAGGTGCATCAAAACAAAAGGTATGCAAAGTCTGACAGTTTGTGTTCTTTAATCAGCTACAACTTGAGTAGAAAACTGTCCTGTCAGCATGCTGCAGAGTGGGATCCTTGCTGTAGGGAAGCAGTGGTCTCTCGGCAGAGGTCCAACAAAGCCACTGATAAGTCAGAACTCCCCAATGAGCAGGGAACATTAACTTTGCTGATTGCAGAGCTGTATGTCTGACTCAATAGGGGGGAGTGTAGGACATCTGTAGAGACCACTGCTTCCCTAGAGACAGCAAGGGTCCTACTCTTCAGCATGCTGGCAGGACACAGGCTTTTTCACTCAGGTTTTGGCTCAATAAAACAAACTGTAAGACTTTGTACACTTTTTGTTTTCATGCACCTGAAATGTATTTTGCTGATTTAAACTGAACATTCAATTGGGCTTTAATAATAGAGATCTAGGCAAATATCAAGGCCCTATAACCCACAGTAGCTAGTTACAAACTGGCTTGGCACCACCTCTCCCACATCCACAAACTTCCTAATGATCCTTAATTTGATGGGTAGAGGTGAAATGGGGTGCAGCAAGGGTCAAGAAATGTCCAGCTTTGCATTCCATTTCAGGTGTCTGGATCCTGGATCCATTGATCATTTTCACTGACGGTAACTTCTACTCATACATGTCATCACCAGTTTGAACCACCAAGTTTGTCACAGGTTTCCGTAAAAGGGGTTCCGGCTGTAATATCTTTAAATAAATTTCCCTTTTAGTTATATTTACTTCACGCTCTTTTAAATTAGTGTTGGGATCTGTGTAGTCAAAAACTTGTGAAAAGTGCCTTGACCCAGAGCAAAAAAGTCAGGAAGGGAGAATACAGTCTGGATGATACTAACCCCTATGGTAACGTGAGAGTCTCTTTTAAGTGGTACATAAAAACATGTTGTATGACCGCACTTCCAAGGATATAGAAGAATGGGTTTCTTACACATTCCCTTATTTTGGAGTTCAGCACAGGAAAAGGATTCATGTCATATGCTAAGTGGCTGCAGTCTATCTCCGGCTCTTTCCATCTCTCTTGCAGTAGTGTATTTGTAGCATGTTTTTTAATACATAAATTGCTGGTCAAGGCTAAGTGGGAGTATGAAGCGCTTCCAGATGATTATGAACACGGAGGTGCACTGAAATATGGTAGCTAAGAGCCCCATGCTGTAGAAAGCATAAATCAGCTTGTTAAAAAGCAACACCAAGCAGCTTTTAATCAAATGTCAGGGACTGCAGCATTATGCTTTTCCTCTCTCATTAAAAAACACAGCCTCTGAAAGCATTATTGGAGCACTGGAAGAATTGCATCTGCTGTCCTCTACTGCACACCTCAACATCCCTGCTCATTTGTGTACAAGGCAGGCAAGGAATCAATGCCTAAAACTGCACACTTCAGCAGCCTTAGTCATCCCTGTGCAAGGAGGCAGAGGATCACTACGCCGGCTGTAAATCTCACCGTTCTCACCAATCTGTGTAAAAGGGAGGCAGAGGCTGCACACCTCACTAGTCTTACCAAAAAGCCCCACTAATCAATGGAACAATGCTGAGGATGACAATAAAGACAGCACAGCACACCAGACTTGGCCGTCTGAGCATAAGAGAGGTAGAGAATCAGTATAAAGACTTAACAGCTTGACAGTCTCACTTATCTATATATGAGAGATACAGATCCCCCCCTCACCCACATATTCATCCAGAAGCATATAAGATCATAACAGGGATTTGACACCTCACCAGCATCCCACAAATTCATATATAACTAGATGACATTACTACAGGGACTGTACACCTCACTGGGCCCCCCACAAATTCATATATAACTAGATGACATCACTACGGGGACTGTACACCTCACTGGGCCCCCCACAAATTAATGTATAATTAGATGACATCACTACGGGGACTGTACACCTCACTGGGCCCCCCCCACAAATGAATGTATAATTAGATGACATCACTACGGGGACTGTACACTTCACTGGCCCCCCCCCACAAATGAATGTATAATTAGATGACATCACTACGGGGACTGTACACTTCACTGGCCCCCCCCCACAAATGAATGTATAATTAGATGACATCACTACGGGGACTGTACACTTCACTGGCCCCCCCCCACAAATGAATGTATAATTAGATGACATCACTACGGGGACTGTACACTTCACTGGCCCCCCCCCACAAATGAATGTATAATTAGATGACATCACTACGGGGACTGTACACTTCACTGGCCCCCCCCCACAAATGAATGTATAATTAGATGACATCACTACGGGGACTGTACACTTCACTGGCCCCCCCCCACAAATGAATGTATAATTAGATGACATCACTACGGGGACTGTACACTTCACTGGCCCCCCCCCACAAATGAATGTATAATTAGATGACATCACTACGGGGACTGTACACTTCACTGGCCCCCCCCCACAAATGAATGTATAATTAGATGACATCACTACGGGGACTGTACACTTCACTGGCCCCCCCCCACAAATGAATGTATAATTAGATGACATCACTACGGGGACTGTACACTTCACTGGCCCCCCCCCACAAATGAATGTATAATTAGATGACATCACTACGGGGACTGTACACCTCACTGCTCCCCCCCCCACACACACAAATTAATGTATAGTTAGATGACATCACTACCGGGACTGTACACCTCACTGGGCCCCCCCACAAATTCATGTATGACTAGATGGCATCACTACAGGGACTGTACACCTTACTGGGCTCCCCAGAAATTCATGTATAACTAGATGACATCACTACAGGGACTGTACACCTCACCGGGCCCCACACAAATTCATGTATAACTAGATGACATCTCTACAGGGACTGTACACCTCATCAGGCCCCCACAAATTTGTGCCCAGATGGGATCACTGCAGATATTACATTCTATTGCAGGCCCATTGATCTGCCTACATAGGAGGTGAAGGATGACTGCATAGAATGCATGGATCACTAGCCTTAGTAGCTGCCGTTTTCCAATACCATAATACAACATCCGGTGAACACTAGACATTAAGCAAACCAATGCTTAGTGAAACATGGAGGTGGCCCTTGCCTATCATGCTGATCAAATGGCTTCAAAACTTTATGAGTGACAGACTCAGAAAAAAAATGCAGATCAGGAATACATACTTGTTCCCATTATTGCAGTCAGATGATAAACAGGACTCCAGGGCCGCTAGCTTTTCCACAACGTCAATAATGGCAGTCTGTGTTTCCACACATTTCATAAAAAGCTCAACTCCAGCCAAAAACATCAAGATAAAAAAATAAAAATAACAACACCAGCTTATACAGCAATATTCAGCTTCAATCTAGGAGATTTCCTCCGCAGTACTTATTTCTGCCCATAGATGTCCTCAGTCTGATTGTCAGCATCGTTCAACCCACTTCCCTGAGCCCATGTCATTATGGACTGCTTCCAGCCTATAACTGGATAGTGAAAGGAGACCAGCACAGTGACAAGCTCATCTGTCTGTCAATCTGCTCTCTCCTCCTATCAGTAAGTTTCTTGTCAGCACAGAACTAATTGGCTCCTTGTGCTGCTTCTTCCTCTCACACTCCAGCTCTACTGTACAGGGACAGCAAGAGGCCGATAACAAGTCATTTTCAGGTACGTACGCGGCTTGCATTTAAACAAATCAATGTAATAATATATTAAAGATAACAGAGCTGCATTAATGTGTGTCTTTATTATCTGCCTAGAGTTTAGCTTTAAGTTTACAGAGCATATCAAACAGTTTTATTGGTTAGCTAATATGGCTTCAAGCAGCCAGAATGCAAAGTCCAAGCTAAGAGGTGTTGGTGCTGAATCATCAGCTCTGACACAACTTTTTTTTGCTGAACAAGAAACGGCGACATAGACTAGTTAGGTGCTTAGTTATTTATATAAAAACAAAATTATATGATTAGAGCACGGAATCCATTCTTCATCAACTCTAAATAAACAGGGAAGCTGCCACCAGGAAATGAAGGTGTTTGAACATGCACCAGTTCACTTTTAGGATCATAGAACATGCTATTCTCAAGTCTGTCAGTTCTTGGAATATTGTTATATTCTTAACCAAGTTGGCATTGATGCAGCCATGTTGAATAATTATTACCACTAGTTCCTGTCTTTATGCAGCTTCCCCCTATAGTGGTGGAGAATTAGATAAAAGGGGACTAAATAACTGATCACTGACTGCTTATCAGGCAGCAATGTCAGCGTGAATTCAGAACATATAAGTGATTTCCACAGCGTTTCACTCAGCACAGTGATCCTGCTTCACATGTGACACGTTTGCTTTATTATATATCAACTGGCTCCCGCTGCTCAGTTTTCATACAGCGTACTGCAGTTACTGGTTGTAAACAAGGAAAGCATTAACTTGTACATATTTTCCCAGCACTATTCCATATTAAGTGTATTATAAAGAACAGGTTACAACATCATACAGAGAAGGCTGTGTTGCTCACTTACCAATTATTTACTTGCAATATAGTCAGTCCTGTGTCTTGTGCTAACTGTTTCTTCTGTTCTTCTGAGGGGTATGGATGCTGCAATGAAAAAAACACAAGTCGTTAGAGCTTACTAATACACAGTTATTTAGAATGTGATTAGTTCTTACAGTGTATGTAAACCTTAACAATAAACTTCTTTTATTTGCTCCCCTTTGGTCTGATAAAAATACAATTAAAAGCATTTTGTTATATCTGTTCAATAGGTCCATGTAATAACCCGTTGATCCTTCCAGAAATCATGTGAGCTGATAACTTCTCTGCCTGAGCTGTACTCTTATCAGTTACATTGTTTTCAGCTATCTCTGGGGACTGCAGAACCTCTATGAAGGTTATTGCAGTCCTGTCTTAAGGTGACAACACTGTCTCTCCATAGATAGAGTACAGGATTGTCACTTTAGGACAGGAAGTGTGTTACTGGCCAGATCACCGATAAAAAAAATGGGGGAAAAGCCTGAAAAAAAAAAAAAGTAATGCAGTCAGCACACTTAAGGACTGGTAAGCTGCAAGAAACACTGCCTGGCCAAAAAGGCCCAACAAAACAAAATGATGGGTGAATTGGTAGATTTCTCTTGTTCAGCCCAGCTGCAGTCTACGGCCAGCTTAAGGAAAAAAAAGAATGATATCCATAGCAAGTAAAGCGATGTCATCATACATTTTCCTATCTGCATTAGAACAAGGTCAGCTGGAGATTGGTTGGTGTAAGCAATGCATGGCAATATTCATTTCTACACCTTTTGCTCATTGTGAATCAGAAACAAAAGAAGTACTAAATTATGTGCAAACCCAAACTGGTATTTTATCCCCTTAGTTAGCATCGTATATAGAATTGTTTCTGGAACTCTCCCCCCCACACACACCCCTCAAGCCCAAGAAAAATGCCTCTAAAGTTCATGTAGTAAGCCGATTGTATAGAGGGCTCAAAAGTTTTGTCGCAAGAAAAATGATTATTCTTTTGCTTGTTCTGCACTTTGCTGTATGCTCATTGCCCTGTGTGGAAAGAAACACAGGCAACACAAAGACAAGCAATAAATCAGCGTTCAGAAAGTGGGGAAGCCAGTCTCCTTACTGCTCCTATGACATGGTTCTGTGAAAGGGCACTAGAGTCCCATCCCTTGTGTTTGAACTGCACTGTTTACACAGGCTGGAATGCTCCATTGCCAATACATTAGCCAAAGTCGAACAATAAATATCATCCATTCAGCACCGAGCAAACTTTTTCCGCTTCTATGAAGGAATTAGCAAAGATGGCTTGGAGAGCAGCAATGCAATGGGTAATACAGCCCCACCCCTTCCACAGCATAGCCGGATAGGAACTAAACCAACAGCTTATTGTTTTTGTGCCAAATGCATAGATATTGGGGCTTTGAGAAAGGAAAAAAGACGCTAGGATGCAATTTGCAATGCAGAGCTGAGTGTAATAGTATATAATTGTGGCTAATGATACAGAAGAGTCCCTGTCTGCTATAACTGGCATTTTTCACTCTACGCCAGGCTCTTCAGGCACAAGCGCTCTGGCATCGGACAGGGTTAATTCTGTTTGTGTATATACTACCGGCTTGTAATATTCTGCAAATGTTAACACAGAAAGATGATAATGCCGAGTTAATATGGGTTAAGGATAAAATGAAAATACATTTTTCTGATTGCTGGGTGCTGACAAATTTTTGGCTTCCTCTGCAGCCTGTCTATTGAATCCAAGTAATTACACCCAGGCTTTTCCCTTGTCTGCCCCCTCTCTGCTCCTCCTCTCCGCCTGCCCATGCTGCTAATGACCTCCTCATGGTTATCAAAACCACTAATAGTCCTGGGCTCAGGGAAGAGCAAGAGTTGGGTATACTGGGAAGGTCTGGGTAATTTGCATTGGGTATACAGAGTATACTCACACTCTCTACTCCCAATAAGTGCCTGACTGTCAGGGGCTGTGAACAGCCTGTGTGATAAATGCTACCTCTAACCCACATCCTTCTCCCAACAATGGCACTGCCACCTATTCTCCTGGCAGTAATGGAGATAATGAATGAGCTCTGAGGAGAAGCTCTGCTCATCACCATCCCAGGGTGGCTGGGAACAGAGAGCCTCCAACTGCATGGAAAAAAAAGGATCCTTAATTGGCTGAAAACATCATTTAGGAAAGGGGGGCAGTATGTTAATTTCACCCACTGACACTGTGCAAAGCTGTTAACTAGTTCTGCGCTCCACAATGTGGCCCTCTGCTTGATTCTCTTTTTAATCCCTTTGATGCAGCTCGCTCCTTAGTAGCAGCTTTAGAGACTTATTTGGCCTGTACTTTGTGCCCTACGCAGAATGAACAGTGACACAGAGGAGGAATCGATGGCAAATTGATTACAGGCGCTGCCCCCACTGGCGCTCTGTGACATCCTGATTATGGAGAGCACCAGGGTTTACCCTGCACCGCACACAAATAAAAAAATACTTTACAGGTTAGTAAGCTCAATCGCTGTTCCTTGCTCGATACACACAAGCCGCTCGGAGTACTTCTACCCCATGTGACTGCAGCATCACTTTAGATGAGTTGTGTGTGGAACAAACAATCCATGCATTCTTAGGATTTAATATACTACCTATAATAAAAATATAAAACCATTTTACAAAGTGTATGTACACACTAGTCTATAAAACCAATTTGTTTATTTTAGTCTGAAGTCAGATGATTGTATCGGTATCTCTTTTAGTCACCATTCACACCTGTGCGATTTGAAGCGCTTTGGCCATCATGTACGACAAAAGAAATGCCATTATTTTCCAGGGGGCCCATTTACACCATGAAAATTATGCAAGCGCTTCTTTTGGTGCGTTTTTAGCCTGCTAGACTTCAATGGGAGCACCTTAAAAATGCATGGAACATGCATTTTTGTGCATTTTGGCGCATGACAACAAGCCCCCACCCCCTAGCAACTGCTATTTATTTCACCTTCATTGGCAAAAACAAATGTAAAACACATGAAAAATGTGCAGCAAAAAGGCACTAAAAAGTGTGAAAATGCAGACACACGAGTGTGAATAGAGATTTAGGCCATTAGCTCTTCAGATTCCAGTAATACACACACTGGCCCATCTTTTCATTCACTCACAATTTTGTTAATATGGAAGATGATGATGATAGTCTGACAAACACTGACGTTCAACATGCTTTGTACCAAGAAAAAAAATATTAAAATACATTTTATTTTATTTACATTCTGATGTATTTTCTGCTACATTCTGAAGGAAATGTGTAACATTTTCAGTATGTTTTATAACACCTGTTAGCCTACAGGATAATCTAACCAACCTGTACTCAATTCAATATTCTATATGAGTTTTACTGCTGCTTTTCATTCCAAAGATAATATTTTTTAGACCAGAATCTGCCAAACAGAAAAAAGAAAAATCACGCTTAACCTTTACTGCTGCACAGACGTTTAGATGGGGCGAGAAAAGCAGACATTTGGTCAGGCAAGCACCTTTTTCCTTCGGTTATCAATAAGCCCATTGTCACTTCAATGACAAACATAAGACCAACTCCAATAGATGACATTGGGCCTAATAAACAGAACATTGATGGCACTATATAAATAAATGTCTGTAATTAATAAATATATAAAAGGAAGCGTAAAGCGCTGCGCAAACTGTTGGCACTATATAAATCCTTAATAATAATAAAGTGTATGTCACCTAGATAACCAATCAGATCTTTCTCCTAATCTACAGTAGATAGACAACAGATCAACCTGATTGGTTTCTCTCTCAGACAATGTTTATATTTTTTTTAATTATAAACACTAATAAAATGCTAAATCAACTCTAATAGAAGCAAGTTTGAAACCTGCAGCTTGATCCCTAGAAGACATAACATAGACTTATCTATCATTATATACATGTTGTGCTTAGCCCAGGGGCTTTAACCTGTAGGTCGAGGATTAAAAATGCTCATTGCCAAATCAGTTTTGATGGCTTCCCAGAATTCTGTCTTGGCAAACCTACTGTATGCTAATACCTAGCAGAGAATTTATATTTAAAATAGTAACCTTGTTCTATGTACAAGACTCAAACATCCTATTGGTAAAAAAAATGTCTACTGAAAACTTGAGAGAAATGTATAGGCTGCCATATGTGTTCTCCTGCTGAAAATGTGGGTTGACTGGCTGTCTGCATTACCAGCAAGTAAAGTCAGAAAACTGGATGTGTATACTTGCTCTGCTGTTAGTTACTCCGAATATACTGAAACCCCTGGATCAACATGACAGCCAAACAATGAGCATTTGCAGAAGGAGAGGTCAGCAAAGAGAGGCAACATATTATTCCCACTACGAGTGAATTACTACTGAACATGTACAATCCTGATTCACAGAGTAATCTGGATCCTGGCCTGAACAGAGTAAAGTTGTAAATGTTAACTAGTGGCATCATCATTTGTATCTTCAGTACTTAATTACAACATGTCAAACTCTACATGATACAGTGTGGTAAAGGAAGAGTAAACAACCCAAAACAGAAAACGTGCTAATGGAGTTTGTAAATGCTTTCTGCAATGACAGGGTTAAGCATACATGCACCTGTGTGAGGGATTGCATGGAAAGTGCTGGTATGGGAAGCCACACGGTGTATTAGAGACTATAGTACAAAATATGGCAGCACACGATCAGCGTGGGTGTAATTAAATTAATTAGCAATATAAAGCATTCTGAGGGAAGTGTCTCCACGCACAGAGGTATATGGATTAAACAGGTTTTAAATATTTAGCAGGAAGCCATCTGCTCTATCCTAGTTAGTTCTTCAGAAATATAAAGAAATAGTTGTATGTATTAACCTCAGTGCAGGTCCATGGCCCCCGAATTAGTTACATCAATCTCTCTACATAGATGTATCTCTGCAGACACCTTGGAATTTATAAAGAAAGGGTCTGGAGTCTTTTGTAGACACCTTAATCCAGAGGTGGTCAAATAAATATGGCATTTCGGAGCCAGACTGTCCAATCCAGGAGCAGGCAAGAGCTCCACTGACAACAACTAGAAAAAAATCTCAAAAGCTAGGGT